ATGATGTATGATTATTATGAACCGTAGAAACACTGAGCAGCTCTCGTTCGTAGATCTCCTCTCGTCTCTGAGCTCTTTCCTTAATTCCTTCGCCTCCTTCCAGCTGGGACAAGACACATGTCCTCTACGGGCAGCTGCTTGACTGGCTCAGATACTTGGTTGCCTGGCAACCTATCATCATCGGTATCGTTCATGGGATTAACTTCACACTAGGCCTTGAATAGAGCCCTGAGGAACACCCGTGGTACGTCTGGATTTAAGCGTCGCAAACATTTGGCATCAAACTTTCAAAGTCGGCGGGACAAGGACCTGACTTGGCCTTTTCTTTTTTCTGCAACGTGTTCTTTGACTGAACTCTTGCGAAGGTCCCTGTAGAGGGACCCCTTGTGGCCGGGGTCCGGAGGAGAGGAGCATATGATCCCAAAGCTGCTGTCGACCTGATCATTCATTTAAGCAGTTTCCCATATTTTCTGGACTACGTTGCTTCAGTTGCTTCAGTTTAACCTTTGTTTTGTGCCATGAAAACGCTTTTGAAAGTTTTATTTGCACTCCGCCTGGTTCCTTCGACATAACAAGCTCCTGCTCAGCTCTTTGCACTTTGATTACAAACAGTTGTGGTTCACATAAAACCTGTTTACATTTCATGTATGTTTTACTTGTAAGTGAACTTTCATTTGAAACGTTTCTGTTTCATTATATGTTAATGTGCTGAAGCTGATGTGTTAAACTTATTGTAGCAGTCGGGGTAAATATTTCTCGGAACACGTTTTTGTAGATTTGTAATCGCTGCTGCGGAGCCGACATCGCGTGAAGAAGAAAGTAAAACATGCTGTCGAAGATCAATCATGGAGTCACACTTTGAATAACTATTGATCCTGGAAAGGTTTTATTTTCGTCTTTCTGCACTAACTCATGTTGCTGCTGATCATTTGTATTTATTCAATATTTTAAGAGAACCACGACAAAGTGTTTTAAGTTGTTCAGAGATGTTGAAATTCTGCAGCTTAGTCAAACAATAGAAACGTTTCATTTGGAATTTATTCTCAGTTTTATTGAAATATTTGGGACTGAACAGAGTTTTCTGGCTTCACGTGTTCAAATCCACTTTGTTCCAGTTCTTCATCTTAAATGGATGAAGTTGAAGTTTTTCTCCATCAGTTGACTCTTAATAATTCTTAATGACAATTGAAAACATATTTTTTTTAAATGTTTGCAAATGTATTAAATTTATTAAAAATCTCGCATTTACATTTTTCTGTGACTGATTTGAAACTTGTCTTCATCACTTTGTCTTTCTCACTCGTCCTCCTCTCCGTCTCCTCTCAAAGCGCTTCGGAGACTCCTCCAGAACTCCCCCCTCCTCTCCTCCTCCTGAGGCCACTCCAGGTACGTGGTGGAGCTCATGAGTTTGCGCAGTTTGCAGAAGCGTTTGGGGACATCGTCCTTGGACAGCGGCTCCAGCAGGATCAAGATGGCCGGCTCTCCCCTGGTGTCCCCATCGAAAAGCCAGAAATGGGAGAAGTCCAGCTCGTAGCGGCACCAATCAGATTGGACGAAGTTCTGGGAAAGAACGAAGACAGTCCGCCGGCTGCGCTCCATGGCGCTCATGATGTTGTCCATTATCCAGTGTCCAGGAAGGAAGTCCCGCTTGTGGAGGCAGAGAGTCAGCGGCCGAGGGTCTGTGTGATTCACAGAATCTTCATCGGTCTCCCTGCAGGAGAATAAACGAGCAGGCAGGTGAAGTGATTTGTTCCACATTTGACGGCGCGATGAACCGGTGAAGAACTTACTCACCTCGGCTCCTCCAGCTCAGGCACCAGGAAGGTTTCCACCCACCCGGCGTCTTTTTCACTGTAGGAAACGAAGGCATCATAGGAAAGCAGCGCCTCTGATTCCAATCGATTTCTGAGGCGCCGCCGGCGCCGAGAGCTGTGCTTGGCCCTCAGCCACGCCCACATCATCCTGAGGTACCAGAGGGCGTGTAGGCGCCACAGCAGCACACAGACCAGAATCCCAACCACTAACGCTACACCGCAGCACAGGGACACGAACAAATCCCGATGGCAAAGGACAAATGAGAGATAAATTTGACCCACTGGTTCCCCCTGCAGGTGGAAAGGAGAGTCGCAGATGTAGCTCTCCTCTCCGTCTGTTAAACGCACATCTTCATCCCCTCTAATGCTCGACTGGAGGAAGGCCACGAAGTCACAGGTGCAGACGAACTTGTTCTGACCTGCCTGGAGGTTCTGGAGTCGTGGAAATGACCGGAGGTCCGAGCGATCGAACATGTTCAAGGTGTTTGACTGTGGGAGAGCAAAGGTCAAGCTGCAGATGACAGAGACGCTTGGAAGCAGAAATCTGAGATGTGATAGTTTTCTACCTGTACAGTCAGAGTTTGGAGGTTGGGGAACCAGCTTCCAGGGGGGAGCCTCAGAAGCTTGTTCCCTGAAAGGCGGAGCTCTCTCAGGGCAGGCAGGGCCACAGTGACGCCTTGAAGATCGTTGTTACTCAGATCCAACACCTGGACACGATACACGACAAGTTACACACGTTTTCATTCGGATGCTGCCCCGTCTGTTACACCCTCTCAGTACCTCCAGAGTTTTGGGCAGACAAGGAGTGATGGTGGTGAGTTTAGCCCCAGAGATGTTGAGGTATCGCAGAGTGGAGGGCCAGGAGCAGCTGCCAGGCATAGAGCTGTAGAAGTTCCTGCTGATGTCCAGGTGGGTCAGTTTGTGGAGCCTCTCCACCAATCGACTCAACGTAGACAAAGACTGAGCAGAAGTGGAACAGAGGTCATTTGTTTCTGGAATCTTGTAGTTTTTATTAATACTTAAATGGACTGTTCACTGATTTGTCAGCGTGAAAAAGTTTATATATATATTTTTTTTTAATTAAAGTTCAAACAAGACGCCACATGATGCTTTGATTTTCTCTCAAGTTTAATGAAAGCACCTTAAGAGCATTTCCGCTGATGTTTAAAACTCGGAGGTCCTTCAGCGCCCCTCTCTTGCTGCACAGCGTCTCGGCCAGAGTCATGTCGGTCAGCAGGTTGTCGGACAGGTCCAGGTACTGTAGGCTGGACATCAGGAAGGTCGTGTCGCAGGGAATCACAAACATCTGAAGGTAAAGGTCAAACCTCAGAAATGAAGCCCAGATTAACGAGTATGTTCATCACAATATCTAGTCACTGATAGTCTTTATACATGAATACCACGTCTTTACCCTGGAGTTTATGACGGACACCCTCCTGGGGTACTGCAGCAGAAACTTCAATCGCAGTAATGAGACGAACTTGAAAACATCCAGAACCACAATGTTTTGTATGAAGAACTCGTCGATGCTGTGAAAATCGGCCCAACTGGCTTTTTCCCACCTGACGTCAGCAGAAAAAACAACGACAGCTCGTACGGTCGAAGTCACAGGCAAACTTTTTAATAAGCTGCTCTTAAAATAATTCATGTTAACAGAAACAGAAATGTTCTGTTGTTCTGTTTCACTCATTAACTTTGTCTTTATCCTGCACACGCACTGATTTCTCACCTGCCTTCACCCGTTAGCGTGACGCCATCGAGGGAAAAGTATGTGAGCGGCACTCCGTCTAAAATCTCTATGACGCTGACGGTGGCCTCATCAGAGACGGAAAGGTTACGGAAGGTCATGTTCCTGAGAAGAGAGACCAGAGAAGAGAGACCAGTCGATTTACGGCTTTTAACTTTGTTTGTGTTGAGAATCTTCTTTTCAGATTGTGGCCACACCTGACCCTCCTCTTGGCCAACTCTCTGAGAGGCTGAGTGGACTGGTTCCCAATCAGATGGAGGTCTTCCAGAACGATGGGCGTCTCAGGGTAGGACACGTCACGGAGCACGGCCGAGGCCAATGCCATGTTTGTCAGAAATGGTCCATGGAGGCTCAAAGTGACGCAACCCAACGGCCAAACGTACGAGAGAGCCCCGGACTCGTACCTGCAGATAAAGAACATCGAATGTGGATTCATCTCAAATTAGATTTAACAAAGATATTATCGCATCATTCAATATCTTATTAAAAATTGTAAAGTGGATGACCTCTGTTCTTCCTACCGGTCGATTAAAAAACTTAATTTCAGGACAAATTACAATTATTTTCTTCTTCCATAGAAAACGCTTTGTTTGCTTTTTATCACTGTGAAACATCTGTAATTTAATCTTTTAGATCCAATCAGAGTTTTTCAGAGTTTATGACTTTGTTCTTTGTCAAACATGGAAGTAAATTCAATCTGAAATTTCAGACTCTGAACTGAGGCTGACACCTCCACCAACATCAACATCAATCCATCCATGAATTCATTCATCCACGAATCGTTCTCTGAGAAATCACAGGAAGTGTTGAAGTAGGAGAAAAATCAATTCCTGGATCTGAACCGTGAGTTCTTCTGGACTCCTGTAAAACAGACCAATCGAGATGTGGCGTGCACCTGCTCAGGTTGTTGGCGTGAACTGTGAGCGTCTCCAGCTCGGTGACCCCTGACAGAGCTGCCATCTTTATCTCCTCCAGAGCCGGACCTCCGAACGCCAGCCTCCTCAGCCGCACCAGCCCGTGGAACACCGGACTCGAACCCACGCACCTGGAGGACACCAGAGGAAACTGCATCACGTGGACAGGTGGTTAGAAAAGTGAGGGTTCGCCCCCCCCCCCCCC